CCCCCCAAACGACTACAACACAATTGTATTCTCCATAAACCATGATTATATCAGGTACCATAATAACCAATTTTCTTATTAGATCAAAACATGGTTGAGGAACTCTGTCTGAGCCAAGGACCACAAATTTGTTGTTTTCATGTTGCATGTTTCGAACAAGATTTGTTGCATAAAATTACCCAGGACTGCATTTAAGTGAAGATGTTCTTCAACAGATAGATACATGTAAGTATACTGGTGGAACTTTGACAGACTATAACAGATCATCTTTATTTTGCTTATACATGTTAGTACAATAGTACGAGACGAAGTCAAGGTGAATATTCACCGTAATCACTCAGCCTGAGGCGAATAATTGTTTTAGTATAAATTTTTAATGAATAAAATAAAATATCCAAATATCAGTTCAATTAAAATTCATAACTGTTTTCGGCCTGTTCACGGTTACTGTCACTAACAGTGTTGCAGTGTTTCTTGTACGCACACACTTTCAAAATGGCTTCTTGTGTGACTTTATTGCTTTATTACAAAGTCATTTTTATCGATTTCTGCTTAGAATATAAACACAATAACGGAATGACTTTTTCACCAGACTGAGAATTAAAAAATAGTTTCTGTTTAGCAATATTTTTTTCAGGAAATGGCTGAGAAATTTGGTAAAATGAAATGTAAAACTATATCGTTCGAAATAAAGTTTTAATAACACTTTTCACTTTACAAGTTTCGAAAATACAATAGTACAATACAGCGGTCAGAACGCCATACAGAACAATGAAAACATGAAATATCAAAACTAGTATCGTACAAATTGAGAAATGTATAGCGATAGGATAGAAAACAAAATGGATTTAAAAGAATAACACGGCAAGGTTTTTCACATCGAACAGTCCGGACACTTTTTGCTATTTGTTTGAAAACAAAAACTCCGGTTTTAAATAAGTTTTAAATTGTCCGTGAATATGTTTGACACAGTAAAATAATAACGGAATGCTACCTTTCAAGTTAAATAAAACATTTTGTGCTTCTTTCGTTTCCTGGGGACGATTTTTTCAATATTTTGTCGATTTTGAAACCAAATTTGCTGAGTCATTCTTTTTGAAAAGCATTATTTACTACCCAGGTGGTAAATAATGCCTCAGATTTACTAGTCAACTAGCCAATCGGAACGCGCTAAAGCTCATCTGATATGCAAAATTTATACTAAAATGGAATATTACATTTTCTTTTAGTTTAGTCTAGGAAAACTTCTTTTAGTAAAGTCTAGACGGTTTTTGTGATTTAGCGAAACACATAGACAATTATAAAATTATACATGAAAAGTTACTGTATATAAAGCCAATGCTGAATATAATTCCAGCCAACAAAATCAAAAAACACAAATCACAATTATTGTAAAGACATGGTAATTTCATTGCACAAGAACATCATTTATTTGCCTAGAAACCTTTATATTTACAATATATTTACAAATTTACAAGTAACATTTACAAGTTTAACGTATTACTTTGTCTTTGGCTCTAGCTCAGTTTCTGTGTCTTAATAACTCATCTATTGCTAACCTACATACTTGTCCAGTCACTTTCGTTTGTTCTTGCGTTAAAACGCCATAAGTTTTGCATACATAGGTTATCAGTTTTTTTAGTTTTTCCTCATCAAGTTTTTCTTTTCCATGTGAACCAGAGCAATTTCTATTTATTAGTTCGTCTGGGTTATATATAACTCTAACTAATTTTGCTTTTGTAAAGTCATCTACGAGAATCCACCGAATTGTATATGATTATGATAAAGGAGACTTTGACAGCTTGCGTAACGCTCTTAGGGCAGTAAATCTAACCTCGATATTAGGATCTGAGGATATAAACACTGACTGGAGAAACTGGAAAGATGTGTTTCTAGCGGCAGTTTCGGATTATATCCCCACTAAAAAGCTAAAAGGTAAAAATCCTCTACCTTGGATCAATGGACCAATTCTTAATATTATGAAGAAAAAGGAAACTGTTCGACAAAAACTTAAGAAATCATCATCTAGTTACCTGAAGGAGAAATATAGACAGTTACGCAAGCAGGTGAAACAAATGTTACGCGATAGTCGCGACCAGTATCTTGGGTCAGTGGAATCTGAATATAAGACAAATCCGAAGCGTTTCTGGTCACTACTGAGATTAAAATTCAAGTCTCGTAGTGTACCGCATCGTATTTCTATGGCAACAGGAACCGAAGAGACTGATGACACATCCTCAACAGTGCCCAGGACCTTTGCTGAAAGCCCAAAGGCGATATCAAACTTATTTAATCGTTATTTTGCTTCTGTGTTTATCAACAACAGTACGAACAACAGTATTAATTCCGGAAACGCCGGCAGTAACATCTGCGACATGGATCAAACAGCTCCGAACGATATTAGGTTAACTGCTAGCGAGGTGCAAACTGTACTCAAATCCTTAGATGTTTCTAAGGCAACTGGTTCTGACGAGATCCCGGCACGACTGCTCAGGGAAACAGCAGAAGTAATCACGCCATCGCTGTGTCACTTGTTTAATAAATCACTTAGTACCGGCTCTATACCCCGCGAGTGGAAATTGGCTAATATAGTACCAGTTTATAAAAAGGGAGAGCGTGAATACACCGAAAATTATTGACCAATCTCGTTGTTGCCAATAACATCAAAGGTTCTGGAATGTTGCGTCCTAAATAATGTGAAAGATTGGCTTTACGGCCTAGTTAATGAATGTCAGCATGGATTTCTTATCGGAAAATCCTGTGTTACGAACCTTATCAAAGCTTTAGATTACATTGGATCTGTCCTGGATAAAGGTGGACAAATTGACACCATCTACCTCGACATGTCAAAGGCTTTTGATAAGGTTGATCATGGACTGCTTATAACCAAATTGCGTGGGATGGGAATTAGTGGATCATTTTTGCAATGGTTGACAAATTACCTGACTGACCGCCAACAACGAGTTACGGTACTTGGAGAAACATCTGATACGATACCTGTAACTTCTGGGGTGCCCCAAGGTTCACTGCTGGGACCAGTGCTATTTTTGCTCTTTGTTAACGACCTTCCGGAAACTGTTATATCGCGTAAGACATCTATGTATGCTGATGACACAAAAGTATTTAAGGCAATCAAAGTACCGGAAGATGCTTTAGCTTTACAAGCAGATCTAACAAGTGTAAGTAGGTGGTCGACAGGCTCGGGATTACAGTTTAATGGGGAAAAATGTCACGTACAGTCTATAACTCGCAAAAAAAGTCCAGTTATCTCTACCTATACAATAAATGGGGTGCCACTTAAATCGACGCGGTGCGAGCGGGATCTTGGTGTTTGCGTTTCTTCAGACCTCATATGGAAGGAGCAGGTTATGGGACAAGCTGCACATGCAATGAAACTTCTTGGTTATATTCGAAGAAACACGCGTAGTATCAACAGTACATCAATTAGGAAATCAATGTACCTTGCGTTGGTTCGCCCACACATTGGCTATGCTACGCAAATCTGGGCACCTCAATCCATCGACCTCATATTAAAACTCGAACGAATCCAGCGAAGGGCCTCAAGATATATTTTAAACCTACCATTCAGCAGCTGTGAAGATTATAGTTCAAGGCTACAGTCACTGAATCTCTTGCCTATATGCTACTGGCAAGAATATTTAGACCTTGTATTTTTTTACAAATCAACCCACGGCCTGGTGAACTTGAATCAATCTGTTTTACCTCATCTCCGTAGTACCAGGTGCACGCGATCAACGAACACTGATATCGTAAAATATGATGTTCCCAAATGTAAAACTACTACATATCAACACTCGTATACCATCAGAGTCACTCGCATATGGAACCTTCTAGCTAAAGATATAAGAACAAGCACCTCTAGCGATAGTGTGAGCGTCTTTAAATCATTTTTATTAACTTACTATTTTACTGCTTTAAAGAATACTTTTAATATAGACGATCCTAGAACTTTTAAAACTATTTGTTGCAAATGCAACACAGCTCGTAGTCTCCGAAGGGAGGTTGTCTGCTGTTTTTAACTAGATATTTCTATACTCATACTTAATTAATCTTATAATAATGTATATATACCATATAGTTATAGTGATATCTATGTAATATTATTGGGACCGCTGTAATTGGCCTCAAGCTGTTGCGGTTGCCCTACCATATTTGGTAAAGCTTTTAAATAAATAAATAAATAAATAAATAAATAAATAAATAAATAAATATGGATTCTGTGGTGAACAAGTACGTACGTAAATGGCTTGAAATACCTATATCAGGAACTCTATCTAACGTCTACCTTACCAGTAGCAAGTTTGGTCTAAATATCTACCCGCCGTCAATTAAGTTTGTTCAGTGCCAAACAGTTGCTCGTAACGCCTTAAAGACCTCTCCAAATCATTCCATAAAAGACCTCTGGAAAACAACATCTGAAAGCAAAAACATTCAGTACGACGTATACACCTCGACAAAGGAAGTCCTTAAAACTTTTACCTCCGGACAAGAAGACAAACTGCAGAATCATCTGATTTTGCAAGGCTCCTTCTTCTCAAATGTCATTAAGTTTTCACTGTCGAAATTAAACGGTATATGGTCTAAATCCCAATCAAACCTCCCAAAGAACATCTATAACTTCACCATTCGTTACATTAATAACTCACTTCCAACTCGTAAAAACCTTACTAAATGGGGAATATTGTCCAACTCTGATTGCTCCTTCTGCTTAAACCCTGAAACCCTTTTACACGTAGTTGCTGGATGTCAAACGTACCTCCCACGATTTACATGGAGACATGATTCTGTTCTGAACTTCATAGCACAAACGCTACAACCTGTAAACAACTTCAATCTTTTCGTCGATCTTCCTGGTTATAAAAGCCCATCAATTGTAACTGGTGACACATTCCGCCCAGACCTACTTCTATCTATCAACTCGGATTGTCTCTATATCCTTGAACTTTCTGTTGGCTATGAGTCTAATCTACAAACAAATGTTGATCGGAAAAGAAGAAGATACGAAGATCTCATTACACAGCAAAAGAAACAATTTAAGTCCGTAAAATTTGTAAATTTGTCAATTAGTTCTTTAGGGTTTTCTCAAAAGAATGTCATTCCTTTTTAGATATGTTAACTGATCTAGGTCTTGATAAAAGACACCAATATTTCGCTATCAGGAAAATTATGTCTATCGCGATTAGGACAACATATTATATATTTTGTTGCAGAGATAAGGACTGGTTAAATCCGGAATTACTGAACATTTAAGGATACTCATTATTAATATATAAATATTAAGTAGGTTCAAGTAGTCAATTATAAATTACCTAAATTAGTGAGATTTATAATTGTGTATATACGTATATAATTTCAATAAAGTTTCCATTATTATTATTATATAATATAATATAATATAATACAACAACATGGCGGACAAGGTCATGGTTTGAGGAGTTGCTGTGATCTACAATATATTGAAGAAAATTGTTCTGACTTTACTAAGAACTAGCCTTTATTTATATGTAGTTATGAGCATATCGCTACAAGTATAAAACCAAGTGAGATACGTGAGGACTCAATGCCGCCTAAAACGAAAGCTTCGCAGAAGCGTACAAAATGGACAGACCAAATGATCGCTGATCTTGTGATATGTCGAGCATTAGCTCTAGCAAAACATGCAGATACATCAAATATGGCAGAAAATGTGAGCGGTAGGCGAAAGGGTTATATGGAAATAATGAAAGATTTGTGGGAAGAGAAAGGGTATGCATCACATCGGTTCTCAGCTCAAAATCTACGAAATAAAGTAGCACAAGTTCTAAAGAATAAAGAAAGAAAATTGGCGGATACTAACTGCTCGAAAGACACCAGTAACGTATCTATAAATTTCTCTGAAAACGATGTGTTTGATTCGCCTCAAAATCAAAACAACCAAGACGAATATAACAATGTAGAAATTGAACCTGATAATGACGCTGATGTTAATATAATCGGCCAACTAAACAACATAAATGGCCCGGTTTTATCACATGCATCTAACAACTTTCAATGGGGAGAATTGAATAACGAGTCATGCGTTCATGCTCTAAATGACGCATATGAAGAAATAGTATCCTGGAGAAGAAATATTTTTATCTTTCCATCGGGTAAAGTCGGGAAAGCGTTTATCAAAGAGTTAGCTCGTTTATATCAGGCGTATGCAGATGAGTCGCCACTTGAATGTATTGCTATTAAAGCGTGTTCAGTGATGCAAAGCGCCCTACTACAAAAGCCTCACGCGAAGAGTAAAACCAAAGACCATGTTGCTTGCTTGGAGCGTAGACTTTGTTTATGGACAGAGGGTAAATTAAAAGAATTAATTTTGGAGGAAAAGTGCATTCAAAAACATTTATTTAATTCACCTGCTTCAAATTTAACATCGGAAGGCGAAATGCAAAATATTGCAAGGGGCTTCAATCGTTTAATGCTGCAAGGCAAAGTTCGTCAAGCTGTCAATCTAATTTTCAATGCAAATCGTCGAGGTTTTTTAAATATGGACACGTTAATTCCAGCTGGTGAAGACAAAGAGGGTAATATTCAATGGAAAACAACTAGAGAAATTCTTATGGAAAAACATCCACCGGGGCGTATTCTCAGCGATGGCATCCTTTTGCAAGGTACAAATTCTGACGAGAGTTACTACGACCCAATTGTATTCGAAATAATAACCGGTGATTTGATACGTGAAGCAGCTACTAAGATCCAGGGCTCTGCTGGCCCGTCTGGGATCGATGCGTATCTGTGGCGCCGCTTCTGCTTGTCATTTAAAACCGCCTCTACAGATCTGTGTAATGCATTAGCTGGGGTTGCTAGACGTCTATGTACCTCATCAGTTCACCCTGAAAGTCTTTCTGCTTTTCTGGCATGTAGACTTATTCCCCTGGATAAGAATCCTGGTATACGTCCTATTGGTATAGGTGAAGTGCCACGATGCATTATAGCCAAGTCAGCCCTTAGAGTAATTCGAGATGATGTCCAAGAAGCGGCTGGTCCCTTGCAAACATGTGCAGGTTATGAGGCAGGTTGTGAGGCGGCTGTTCATGCCCTTAATCAGATTATGGATACAGAAGAGACGGTAGCATTGCTGCTTGTCGATGCTACAAACGCTTTTAATACACTAAACAGGCAAGCAGCATTACATAACATTCAAGTTATATGCCCTGCGATATCGACCATCTTAAATAACACTTATAAGGCTCCTGTGAGGATGTTCGTTGCAGGAGGGGAAGAAATAGCTTCAATGGAAGGCACCACACAAGGCGACCCATTAGCTATAACCCCACTAATCAAAAGATTAAAGGAACAAGCTCCCAATGCAAGTCAGGTATGGTTCGCAGACGATTCCAGTGCAGCAGGAAGATTAAGAGCCCTCAAGGTTTGGTGGCAGCACTTAACAATACTTGGCCCCGAATTTGGCTATTTTCCAAACGCAAGCAAGACAACAATGGTAGTCAAAGAGGAGTTCTTTGATCAAGCGAACGATTTATTTGAGGAAACTGGCATCAAGATTACCACTGATGGTCATAAAATACTTGGTGCTGCCTGCGGTAAACGTTCTTTTGTGGACGAATATGTAGCTGATAAGATAGACGAGTGGGAAGAAGAAATTGAGATGTTATCTAAAATAGCTGAAACGTATCCACATGCTGCATATACCGCATTTACTCGTGCTATTGTGTGTAAATGGCAATATCTTATGCGAACGATTGATGGTATCGGTAGCATGTTTCAACCGTTGGAGAACGCTATTTCGGCGAAACTCATTCTGGCTTTAACGGGCAGAGGACCTTGTTCCAGCGTAGAAAGAACAATACTCTCTTTTCCAACGCGTTATGGTGGGCTCAACCTTGTTAATCCTGTTGAAGTTGCGAATAGTCATTATAACGCATCATTAAAGATTACTGAACCTCTGAAGAAGATGATCGTTTGCCAAACGACAACTTATAAGAAAATTTATCTACGCGACATAAAAGCCGATCTGCGAAGGCAAAAGAACCAGTACCATCAGCAACTAGCCACGGAGGTCAGAGAAAGCTTGCCCCCAATAAAGCAACGGACTTTAGATTTGTTGGAGCTGAAAGGTTCATCATCATGGTTATCTGCCCTACCACTGAAAGACCAAGGCTTCAGTCTAAACAAGGGCGAGTTTCGTGATGCTTTGAGCCTCAGGTACGGATGGCAACTGAAAAATCTTCCCCAATATTGCATATGTGGAACTAGTTTTTCGACCGATCATGCCATGATATGCCCACACGGAGGAATGACTATATCTCGTCATAACGAAATCCGTGATCTTACCGCTGATTTGATGAGTAAAGTATGCAGAGAGACGGAAACCGAACCACCATTTCAGCTCTTATCTGGAGAGATTATCCTTCCCCGTTCCGCGAATAAACGAGAAGATGCCCGGGTCGATATTAAGACTATCGGACTTTGGGGACGGCAACAAATCGCATTTTTTGATGTTCGGGTTTTTCATCCCAACGCGCCAAGCTACCGTGACAAAAGTGTTGCAGCTTTATTCCGGAAACATGAACTAGATAAGAAGAGAGAATATGGCGATCGGATAAGGGAAGTTGAAAATGGTTCCTTTACACCACTGGTCTTTCAACAACAGGAGGTGCCAGCGGAGAAACAACAGTGGTTTATAAAAGATTAGCGGAACGTTTGGCCAACAAGCGGAAATCTCCTTCATTACAGTCGGTCGTGGCGTTCTTCAAGGCGATTGTCTCAGTCCACTTTTATTCAACATGTCATTCAATACTTTCACACAACATATTAAATCTGAAAAATACCGTCAGCTTGGATTTTGGAAATTAAGTGAAATTGGCATTCCGTGCAATCCTATACATTGGTTTCAGTTTGCAGACGATGCTGCTGTCATCAGTAGCCAAGAGAAAGAAAATCAAATGCTCCTTAATCGTTTTACAATCTGGTGTCAATGGGATAATATGATTATACGCGTTGACAAATGTTCAACATTTGGCATTAAAAAACACTTAACTAAATCTATCCAGTATTTACCCAAGCTTTTCGTTAATAACGATCTTGTACCCAGAACCGTCCGTCCAGAAAAGCCCGTCAATTATAACTGGTGACCTATATCGACCGGACTTATTCCTAATTACCCTAAAATAAAGATCTTTATGTCGTTGAACTTACTGTCGGGTTTGAATCTAATCTACATAATAACGTTGAACGCAAAAAAGCTATATACAAAGATCTAATTGAAGATCAAAGGGGTAACTTTAATTCTGTTAAATTTGTAAACCTATCAATGAGCTCTCTCGGTGTGTTTGACAAAGAATGCTTCACCTTTTTAGAAATGTTAGACACTATAGGAATGGATAAAAAGCAGCAACATTACTGCATCAAAAAGATGACGTCTTATGCCATTAGAGCGACGTACTATATTTTTTGCTGTCGAAACAAAGAGTGGACAAATCCTGAATTGTTAAACATTTAAATTAATAACTACATATAACAATATATATAATCATATACCCATTTTATTCTTGTTTTTACTGTAAATAGTACATATGTAGTACTCTGTGATTCATGTAGCCAATTGTAAATTACCTAAGTCAGTAGTGAGATTTACAATTGTATATATACGTAAAAAATTCAATAAAGTTTTCATTATTGTTATTATTATTATTATTATTAAAAATATTATAACTATTGAATTTACTGGGATATAAATCATGATTCGTTCAAGCCTTGTTGCTATGTTGGCAATCTGCGCAGTTTTCTCGTTCTGTGGCAAAGACTTCGTTACGCTGGGCCGTCATTCATGGCGTTGAAAAGAAAAAATAAATCAAGATCGTCCTGCTAACACAGTCAATCAAAATATGCCGGTTATGCATTCTTCTGTCAGAATCTCAAACACCAACGATGTTAAGTGCTATTGTGGTAAATCATGTAAAGGTACGCGGGGGCTTAAAATGCACCAACGTAGTTGTCGTGTAATACATGGTTTAAATGATGAATTGCTTACAGACCTTGAACAGCAATCTACTGAGAACTTGACTACGAATACTTCTACTCATTCTACATTTGACGAAATTGATGTAATCGAAAATATTGCGAGCGATCAGAATTTTCCAGTGTTGAAGAAAGGGGTAAAGCTTCCCAAAAGCGACGTAGAATGGTCAATGGCTGACAGTTATTTCAAATTTGAATTGCAACTAAATGCGCCAATCAGAACCGAAGATCTAAGCTCAAGCATTACGCTAATGAATGATGTTGTCTACAACTATTTCACTGATAACTTCGGTTATGTTGAGAAGATGCCAGATAAAGAGCTAGTGAATAAGTATAAAGATCAAACAGTAAAAGCCTTAAAAAAAAGTCTAAAACAACTAAAGCTATCGAACGCTGATCCTCACGAAATCAAATATGTAGCTCGCACATTGCGTGATAAGTTGCGTAATGCCTGTTAAATCAATACAACTCAAAACCAAAACAAAACGTTCAATCATGACAATTACATTAGTAGAAATTTCTGGGGTTACGTTAAGAACGTCCTGAATAAGAATACTTGCCTACTTCCATGCTTTCCGATGTCAGAATGCCTAAACTATTTCAAGAAAACTCTATGTTCAATTAACCCAAACAAACTGTTTTGTATGAATTTCCAAGCTGGATTCCGAAGTTATCCGATCCTATCGTAAACTTTGACCTTCAACCCCCAACATATCGCCAAGTTACAAACATTATTCGCAGAATGAAAGCTTCTGGATCGCCTTGTCCTTTAGATCAACTTTCAATAATTTGCTTCAAACATTGTCCATTTTTGCGCAGTTTGAAATGACCGGGTCGTTTTCCTGCTGTGGAGCTGCTTGGTACTCGTGGGATTGGTGACTGGCTAACAACGAGGATGCAATTGTTGTAAAATATTCGTTTAAAGAATTAGCAATGTCACGCTTGTCACTTAACTCTTCGCCATCAACCACTAACCTTTCAATTTCATTGCAGTTTTTCTTGGATGGAAGGACCAGACGTAATGCGTCCCAGAAAGCTTTAGGTTTTCCACGATTTTCTTCAAGCTTGTTTCTGAAGTAATCTTTTCTTGCCTTTCTGTTTATTTCGGTTACTTTGTTACGAAGGCGTCTGTGTTCATTCCAGTCCTGAGACAGTCCTGATTTGATCACGTGTTCTCATGAGCTTGAGTGTAGTGCTATCAAGCCATGGGTGAGTCTGTCTTCGAATACGCTTTCGCTTTAAGGGGAAATGTTGGTCAATTAAGGATTTCATTAGTGATTCCCATACAGAACA